TAGAAGGCACAAGATAGCTGAAGTCTTGAAGGGAAGAGAAGGATTCAGAATTTCAAAGGCAAGTTTCCTCCTACTTAAAAATTTGTATTTCAGTAGATTGAATAGAACAGAGGCCAGATTACAGTGAGTAAACAGTTATGAAATGAAAGTAGCTAGTATAGATTCATTGAAGGAGTACGGAAATGAAAGGAAAGAGAGAAAGAAATGTTGCAGTGAAGATTGGGGCCAAGTGAAGGTTTTTTTCAAGATATGTATAAAAGGAAAAATTAACAAATGTGTAGTTTTGGCCATATCCCCATATCTATTTCACGGATTTAAACTCCCTCTCTTTTTTCAAGGGGAATTCAGCCCTGTAAATAATTCTCAAACTGTTTTATATAAATGTGAATTTTCTATATTATAATGCAGTGCCCCAAAATATTAGCGAAAAAAAAGTCTTGTAAACCACTTGGCAAGGAGGAAAGGAAGGAAGGAAGGAAGGAAGGAAGGAAGGAAGGAAGGAAGAAAGAAAGAAAAAAAAAGAAAGAAAGAAAAGTTAAACAGATGCCTCAGTTTTAGCAGTTGTCCTTAATATTTATATTAAAATCCCACAGTATCTCAGATCTAGCCCTTGCCAACTAAGTAGTGGCAAAGATAATATAATAGCCCAAAGACAACTGTGTGTCATGGGTCTATGCAAAACAATCTCAGGTTTCTTCCCAAGCAAATCACGGATTTTCAAGGGATAATCTTTTCCCTTGAAACTGAAAAGTCATTTGTATTTCAGGATATTTTATAGAGTGATAGGCTCTCTTTCCTTGTCCTCATTTCCTTCCTTCTTTATGTATTGTAGCAAACTCTGCTGAGAAACACTGAGATACAAAAAAGCACTTCAGCATTCAGCATGTAAATGAGGACTGTAGCTGGGAATAAGCTGTACTCATTCTCCATTCTGTGGTCTCTAAGTGAAAGCTGCTAAGGTACAGCTCAAACCACTGTTCCCAGAAAGCCTGGGGTTGCAGGAACCTCTTCCAGGATTGTTATGAAGGCAAAGAATTTTGTTTTGTTTTATGATCTTGTAACGTTGGTCCCCGTAGTGCAGCCTTTAGAAAATATTCATGTTCTCAGTTGCATTGATGGATCAGTCAATCAGTTTATATCAGGATCAAGGAGGGAGGTATGCATGGTAACTATAAAAATTATCCTACAACACAACTAGGTGACCAGTTCAAGGCAGGAAAATTGACAGGTGTTGGCACTTTGGTACCATTTTCATTACTTAATGGAACAAAATCCAAATGGATGGTAAAATTTTCTTTCCTCAATCTGACCCATTTATCAATTTCTGTTGCCTTTGCTAACCAGCCACAGCTCAAATAGAAATAAATTCAAATATTTTTTGAATAAATTTTCTCTTTTTACTCATTTGTATTCTTGATTTTTCCCCCAAGGGCAGTCATATCTATCTGTATGATGTTCCCCAAGATTCACTCTAATTACTGGCTCAAGATCTCTCAGACACAAGATTTCTTTTCCTATCATTCTTTTTCCTATTTTGAACCATGGTAGTATTTGGAAGATTTAAACAAAGAGAAATGTATGCAGTTGACAATGTTACAAGAAAGTATAGATGAAGCAAGAGGAGCTTGCAGTTGATAACTGTTGAAGCTGAGCTATGGGGGTTCATTATGTATGCTGTTCTCACTAGCTTTGTAAGAAAATGAAAATGTTCATAATATAAAATTAAACAACAGAGTGAATAATCCAAACAAAACCAATCATCTATGCAGTCTAGGCTCTACCAGATGCCTTGGATTCACATGAAGAAATGCCAGACACGATAAAATGGTTCACTATCACTATTTATTATCTTGGGTAGTATGGAAAGGAACCTTCAAAGTCTGATATGGAGAGCCTGAGTAAAGCAAAAGGACTGTGATTTATGGTAGCAAGAGAGAATTATAGTCTTGAATGAAGGGGAATTTTTCCTCATGCAGGATGGTTTAAGCTTGACCTAGTAAACATAAGAATTTCATCTATGGAGTTGCATAGAAAGATTGAACTATTGGCTCACTTACAGGGTCTTATTGAAACTACTGGCACATAGCCTCATACTGTGCTGGTACTGCAGGATGCTGAAGTTGGAAAAACATCCTATTAAGACGAGTGAGTTTGAACTGGTCAGATAAAGGTAAGTTTAAATGATACCCCTATGGTCTGATTTCTCTTGGCCTGGAGAAAACTCTGACCTTAGAAGCATACGGTGAAGTGATATGATCAATAACAAGAGCCGACAATAAAGATTGAGAAAAACAAACCATAAAAGTTTGGCTTATAATGAGGCTACAGAGTCTGTCCAAAGTGGATGGTAGTTTCTTTCAAGAGGCCCTCCGAGTATAGGTATATTTCAAATGGGAGGCAGTGGGAAACGTTATTTATGTGAACCAAGCTCAGAGTTCCCCCAACTGTTAACCCAGCATGATCTTTTACCTAGGAAGAAAAATCTGCTTTCTGAAAAATGAGGGTTTATCCTAAGAAATATTGTACTGACCTCTCTCTCTAAGCCCTATGAATTCTCCTCTGCCTTTCTGATGGAAACAGGAAAGAGCGTTTTTTTTTTTATGATGATCAACACTATACATTTATTCTACACATCTCCCCATCATGTGCTTGAATTAGGGATATTGGGAAATTTGTTTTTACCATTGGCTAGTTACTTTGCTAATCAAAAGGCGAAAGAGCTCTAAAGATTTCAAGTGTTTATTTAAAAGCTGTTATGAAATGAAATGAAATTAAAAATGATGAAATGAAGGACACCCACAATAATTCTTGAACTCCTGGAAATCCTAACAGATGCTGCAAATATAGGTCTTTATTCTTAGGAAAATATAGTCAGAGCTAGCTTCCTTATGCTATACATAAACTTTTGACATCAGAGGCAGTACAGATAGTACAGAAGTTTTTGAACTGATCTCCAAACAAACGCAAACCCACTATGTTGAAAAGAACAAGTAATTTGAGATTTAGGGCAAAAGCCCTAACTTCACGCATCTAATCCAAACCAAAGAGACTGCAGATAGTTTTTGGTGGGATGAAAGGAGTGAAATAAAAATAAATTCTATGGGTAAATAAATATAAGAGACAATTTAAATAAGCTAACAGAAGAAATACATTAAAAACTAAAAATACTACCCAGGTACAAGCTTTTGTTTCTCAATGCCAGACTTCTGCATCTTTGTCAGACTAAACTGTTAATATCATTAAAAACTCCCAGAAGAATTGGAGTGCCAGACAGAGAAAGAAGTCCGGCCACAGGATGAAGGAGCATGGTCCAGTATTCTGGCTACTGAGCTACAAATCATGGGCAGAGGAAACAAACCAGAGTCTTGTCTGACACAGGATAGTTTAGTGGCTCAGAGTAGCAAGTGGTGTAGAGTCAAATTCCTGTCTCACTACTGACAAGCTGTGTGTCTTTGGCCAAGTTACATAGTGAACGCTCACTAAATGTTGGTTCACAATATTATTATTCCTGAGTATAGATTGTGTCCCAGGATATGGGGCAGAGCCGAAGCTAATCATAACTTACCCTTTCTCAGGAGTCTATAGCTATATAACAGTAAGAACTTCAGTAAACCAGGCAACTTTCTACTTTTAAGCTACAAAATGTGAAAAAGGGGAGCAGAGAACAGAGGTAGCTAATTTAACCTGGGAAGACTTCCTGGAGGAGGGACTACCTGAACTAAGTCTTTAAGGACGAGCAGATGGCAAAGTTCTGGTGGAATCTTTGGACTCTTTTAGCCAAAAAACCATTTCACCCACATGTGAGCAAATAAAATCCTTTGCAAATGTCCTGATTTATAATAATAATAATAAAATCAGCCAGCAGATTAAGAGAATTTGATCATATCAATTGGATAAAAAAAGAAAAGAATAAATGGAGCCCAGGAAAAAGGGATTTTATTAATAGTCCCAGAGAGAATTAGCATTACCCAATATAGAGCAGCATTAAACCAATTGTCCCAGCTGGGAAAAAGAAAAAAAAAAAAGTAAATTCTTTCCACGGAAGAGAGAGGATTTGGAATGAAACTCCTTTTCTTCTAGCCTTTTAAAAAATACCCCCATTTTTCTCTATATAATATCACAAAAAGGAGATCTTTCTTTGTGTCATATTATCATCTACGCACACAGAAATGAAGATGCACCACGGAGCGTCCTCCTCATTGTTTATACAAACTGGTTTTGTAAGAAAAGCTGTAATGAAGTGTCTCCTCCCAGACCTCACAGCCTTTGTAAATGATAATAATAATTATTGTATTAATATTATTATCTATGGCAAGAGATATAGAGACACTGAAAGGAAAAATGCAGGGCTCCACTATTGAGAAATCAATGACAAAATGGGAAAGAAATTTCAGTGATCATGTCTCAAGCCCTTAGAGGGACTTCCTACGGTGCAGCTGCCAACCTGATCCACCTCCGAGTTACTCCACGAATACCAAGCCTTTTTTTTACGGACTATAAACTTTTTTTTATTGAGAAGGGAAGCGATTAGGTATGTGAATCTTTTATATTGGCATATTATTTTCCTAATTTCAAAGCAATTTCACACACCTTACTTTTTATTTCCCCAACTTTGCAGATTCCCAACCTCTGTGAGGATGAGAATCCCTTTTTAATCTGACAAAGTTTAGTGGATTCTCACCTGTTCTTTTTTTATCTGTCAGTGGGAAGAACTCAACAAAAACTTAATATAACAACAAATTACCATGAATTCAATAATTTTTAAATGAGTGTGTATTTTATTGTTCATAATATATGTGAAAAATAGTTTCACATGTATGCAGACAATAATAAACTATAGATGATGCTTGGTGAGAACATGGACTCATCCCCCCCCCGCCCCCACCACCACACACACATGGTAATTGAAGTGCTTGCTAATCAGGGGTTCTGCATGTCATTATCAGATGAAATTTCAAGAGCCATAGAAAGGTTACCCTAAAAATGTACCTGGAGAGAACGAAGGAATTATGTATATCAAAAGCTGCCTTAAAACCCAGAGATTTCAGATAAATTCTTGCTCTACTGCAGAAGGGAGAATGACCCTATTTAACTCCTTTGGAAAGAAGGAGAGGCAGTGATCTCTGTTAAAGAATGAGGACAGAGCCAGCGTTAACCTCTATGTCCCAGTGCATCTTTCTGATTTGGTGATTGAGTGGAGCAGAGAGAGAGAGAAATGGATAGAACTGAGCAAGACCCAGTATCATTGTGAGACATCATTGGGAGTAAAATAAAGGTAAGAGTTAAGGAAAAACATGTTCTAGGCCTGTTCATGCCAGATAAGAAAGTATATTGGAAGTGAAAAGTCAAATTGGTTTATCTCTGGCCACCATTACAACTGTCTCCATCTGCTTGACTGTATCATGCATTCATGCGTTCCCATTCTCTCTCTTGTTTTTTTTTTTTGTTGTTGTTGTTTGTTTTGTTTGTTTGTTGGAGCCATTAGGATTAAGAAAAACAAATTCAAAGGAAAGATTTTTCTCAAGTTACTAAAGGGAATTATCCCCAGAAGTATCCCAACAAGAAGAAACTGTGGAGAATTCTTCCCCCCCACCAACTCCCACCCAATTATCTTGTACTGAGATACCTAGTAAAACTGCATGTTGTAGGTGAATGTCATCTTTATTCTCTCCTTTTCAAGCCCAGGAATTTCTGTTGATGGACTCTTTTAGACAGTAATTTCAGGAAAGCCTACAATTGAACAGCCAAGCAGAAATTGTGGTTCTATATTTGTTAAATGCTTTTGAGGTCCTCACATAAAAGGTTGATAATGAAGTATTAAGAGAAACTCTGAAAGGCTGCGGTTGGTCAAATTTCTCTGCATGGCACAAAGGGGAGGATGACCTTATGCAAAACCCTGATAGTTCCATTATAAGAATAACCAAGATTTAATGTGAAGTTTAAAAATCACTTTCAAATGCTACCCAAACCAGACTCTTGGCAAAGTATAAATGTTTCATTCAAATTGGGGCTTATGGGGAAAAAGCAATTAAAATCTAATTGCATTATACAGGAGATTTGTACATTTTCTCCTCAAAGTCAGGCAAGGAGAGAAGGGGTTCTTAAACCCTGTTTTTAAATTAGAACTTTCTTTCACATCTCTTTTTTTCTTGTCTCCTTTTGAATCAAGACACTTGAATTTGGACAGACAAGCAGCCCAGCCACCTTTCAGTGTGTCTGTGTCAGTATCGGAATGAAATGAACATGACCCCCTCCAGCAGGGAAGGAACACACAGTAAAGGTATTTTTTATAGAACAATTCTTCACACTGCCCTGGTGACTGGGGAAAGGAATCTCGTGTTTCTCTTTTGCTGATACTGAATCAGCTGAAGAATACCATGAACGTCAGTAGAAATGCTCTGAAATAGTCTGCTCTCCCTTTTGTCTTTTTGTTCTCATGAAGGAGAGAGAAGACAGATTTTTTTTTAACATGAAATATTTAACTAAAATGCCAATTAAAAATCGACCAGTTATTCGGTGGTTCAGTTTATAATCGGCGATGTTGCAAATTATTGCGTTAACTTGCAAACTGTATTAATTTGGCATACTTCTGTTCGACTCTCTAATAAAGATGGCTATACTCACTAAAGATAAGAATACATTCTTAACTAGCATAGGAAGCTGATTTCAGCAAAGAAATTCCTATTCTTGTTTTCTCGATAGTTAATGTAGCAATTGGATTTATATCTTGGTTACACAGATGGGCAAAATTAGAACTGATAGAGAAACTGAGTTTATATCTTAATTGGAGAGAAATTCCAAACACCTTAGCAACATGCATCTCCCAGGTCTTACTTCTGTATGTTATTGCATACTTGCTTATTAACATTTCCATATATAGATCCTTATACGGTTTCCAAGAGCTAAATGAAAATGATGATAATATCATCTATCATTTGTACAATGGTTTATAGCTTACAAAGCACTTTCACACACATTTTCTCAGCAATTTAGAAATTTGTGTAAATGGAATAAATTAAATACATTTGTAGAGAAGTTTAGATTTCTAAAACAGTTTATTTCAAACACGTTTATTAACCCACTAGCAACTCGGTAGCTCGAGCAAATTTTTAGTCCCTAGGAAGTGTCAATATGGGCAGTTACTTAGAATATTCCGAAAAAAATTAAAGTCAGAAAATGCAAAATAAGATCCAATTGAATTTTGTCTCCAGCCTTCACCTCAAAGATCAGATTCAGCAGACGGTAGAACTTGCTTTGAACCACCTTCTTCTTCTCCACAATGCGGACATCAGGATTTGGTAAAAAGGGGTACTGTCCATTTCCCCCAAAAAGACTTCGAATATTTGTGGTCCAGCAACTTATAAAAGTAAGAACCCCTCCCCCCATCTGATCATCCATTCCTTTATTACCTGGGGTCCTAAAGATTTACTAAAACCGGCCATAAATTTAGGAAGAGCCCTACTCCACGGAACAATTTTTTTTCTAGGAGCGATCCCAAGGCTTCCAACAGTTCTGGAAATGAAAATAAGCTCTCTCCAATAGATTACATACATTTACCTATTCCCAGTTCCAGGTAAGAGTCCAGGTTACTTACCAGGTGTGGCTGAGTTGGAGGACACAGGTGAAAAGAAAGATGCACACAGAAGGCTTCGTAAGCAACATAATCCTCTGGAGTGAGAAGGATAGAAAATTCTAAAAACTTGGGAGACAGAGAGGTAAGATGGGAAAGTATTCTCCTCAGTGGTAGTGGGGTGGAATTCTCCTCAAGCCCCAACTTCCTTGGTGTGTAAGCGATCCCAAACAGAGTTAAGGGGAGGTGAAATGGAGCTGCCAAACTTCCAAAGAAGAGATTATCTACTTAATTAAAGTTTTTTTCCCCGCTCTAAGTCCTTCAGCCAATCAGAACTCAAGTGCCAGAGAAAGATTGAGTCGATCAAAAGAACACTCCAGGATCCTCCCAGACAAATGCAGAAGAAGGGGACGAGGAAAAGGGGACAAAGAGAGGAACACGGAGAAAGAGGACAAAGAAAGAAGGTGGGGGGAGGAAGAAAGGGACATAGCAAATCCCCACCACATAATCACTGCATGGAGTCTCTCTCCTCCCTCCCGCCTCTGCCCTCACCCCCACCCCCAGCCTCCCTCACCCATGCACACTCACCACAGACACAGACACACCGAGAGGGAAGCCTGGTCCCCAAGGGGATTTAGAAGGGACTGTGCTTTCCCGGTTGTCCTTTGTAGGGCTTTGAGGCTTAATTTGCATTCAGGGTAGCTTTCTTCAGAGAAAAATATACCGTGTACTGGGTGAACCTCAGCCCTCTAACCTGAGAATGCAGGGATATGACCCAACCATCTCCAGTATTCTTTAAGTTAGAAAGAAGCTTAGGAAACTTTAGGGAGCCTGATGGTTTCTTCCTTTCAACTTTTCCATTGAACGCTTACTTGTTGAACACCTATTACATTCTCAACCCTACACTAGACATTGTGGACATTTTTTAAAACCAAAACAGGATTTCTGCCCTAGAGACATTTACAACCTAGTAAGGTGATAATACAAGAATGTAATTTAGTAAGATATTGAATTGCTACAAACTGACTATAAATCATATAGGCTTATTTGGGGAAGGTTTTCTGAAGAAGGTAGAATTTCAGCTTCGAAGAAGGGATAAAATTTCAATAGGCAGCCACCTCCCTACGGTGAAGCCAGGAGGGTGCCCAAGTTTCTTGCTCTCACATCTTGGAGCTGCTGTCCCTTCTGTTCTACTAAGAAGGAAGGGTCACCTGAGTCACAATGCAGGAACCCAAAGGGCCCCCAACATACTTCCACATGGTCACATCTGCTTTAGCATCTGCATCACCTTTCCTCAGGGCTCCCCAGAGACAATGGTCTGTCTTCATTTCCTTCCTTTTATCTTTATTTCTCTTGCTTCAGAACCCTCTCTGGCCAGATCTACACTGGCAAAGGGAACTGGAAAACAAAGAATTATTAGATTAATTCATTACTGGATTATTCAGGCCGGAAGATTTAGGGCTCTTGACTTGAATATTTTGACCGTTAACCTTATTGTACATTTTGAATCTTCCAGATCTTTATTTGAGATTCCTAAGTGTGAGATGAGCTCAGTCAGTTTTGACCCCCATACAAACAACTTTAGGTCCTTTACCCACTCTTTGTTTCTCCTCAGCTTTGAGGTGTAATTAACAAATGAAAATTGTATATATTTAAGGTGTCCAATGTGACGGTTTGATATATGTCTCTATTGTGAAATGATTACCACAATTAAGTTAATTCATACATTCATCACCTCACGTGGTAACGGGGTGTGTGTGTGTGTGTGTGTGTGTGTGTGTGTGTGTGTGTGTGGTGAGAACACTTAAGATCTACTCTCTTAGCAAATTTCAAGTGTCCAATACAGTATTGTTAATTACAGTCAACATGCTGTACATTAGAATTTGTTCATCTTATAACTGAAACTTTGTACCCTTTGCAGGTCCTTCTCTCTTTTGTCATTCAGAAAGGGAGCTGCAGAGTCTATGGAAGACCCAGAGTCAAGTCCTAGGAAACCAAGGCATGATGACTCATGAATTTCAATCTTGACTTCTTCCCTGAGATGAGGACAGGGTTCTCTCCATTTACTTGACTAGGGAATTCTGAGGGGATGGAAAACTTGTAGGAGATAGAACAGACTTGGGTGATTTTTCTGTGAAAAGGGAGAGCTAATTTAAAACTAGTTTCTTGATGCACTTTCCCATGCCCTCAGAATTTTTTCCCACAAAGGAAAGATTTAATACCCTCATTGTTTTGTATAAGGTTAATGCCTTCTCATTGTGAAAACTTAAACATGACAGAAATATATGAAGTAGAGAGCTCACGTCCTCTTGATGACCCACCTCCTTCTCCCCACTCCAGGAGAACAACTTAGTTTTGGATGGTCTTTTGGGTTTTTAACTATACATATATGAATATAAATATGTATATTAACATTTTTCACAAATATGAGATTATATAGATTATATTTTGCAAGTTGCTTTTCTCACTTAATAATATGTTGTACTGCTTTCTATGTTAGGGCCTAAAGATCTCTCTCTTCTTTTAAGAGTGTGATAGTATAAATTATCAGGTGTATAAATTGTCAGCACTTTGCTGAATATTTGGGTTGTTTTCAGTCTAGCAAAGGAATTGGAAACTTTTAAATTCAATTTGGAGTTAAGTATTGCTGTTTTAATCACTTTGATACTGGAGAATAGATTTCTCTCAATGTCTGAGGTACAAAGGATTATACATAAAGTTATGATTTCCACAGTACTTTTGTGTTTGTTCTTAAATTATTGATAATCTTTTTCCAATTGAAATATTATTGCTATACAACATTGTGTAAGTTTAAGGTATACAATGTGTTGATTTGATACATTGTAATATGGTTGCCATTGTAGTGTTAGTTAACACTTTTATCATGTCACATAATTATTATTTCTTTTTTATTGTGAGAACAGATCTTGGTCTCTTAGCAACTTTGAAGTTTATATAACCTTCTTAATATCCTCCCATCTTCTCCAAATCCTAGGTCTGGAGTTTCCTCTTAGTTTCCTCAAATCAAGGGTCCCATGTAAAAATGAACTACATTTACATTATTCCTCTAAAAATGAACTGTATTACATTATTGAATAACTTTCAATTTATAGATATTTGAAAATAAGATGCTCTTAGGTTTCCTGGAATTTTATACCAGCATCTAATATATCAAAGCATTTTATAACCAGATTTCTTAATCTTCTTCTATCCTAGTTTATCTTCTGAAGATGTTTGCTTGATAGTATTCTTTTAGACCTAAAGATGTAGAAATTAAGGCACAGGGCAGAAAAGCAATGTACTGAATATTCTAAATGATACCACCTTTAAAAATGATTGCTATTAATGTCCTGACATTCTGCTATATTGTTTAATCCCTGTTTAAGACTTTTGACAGTGGCATATTTGCTTTGGGTAAGACCCTGCATTATGGTGAGAGAGGAGGCTGTTACTACATTTATAGTCTTCCGGGAGAAACAGACTAGCAAACGCTCAAAAGTGCTTAAGGGAGAGATAGGCATGGAATGCTGTGGAAGCATAGAGGCCGTCTACCTAAAGGAACAGGGGAGAGAGGCTGAAAGGCTTCCTAGAGCATACAAAGACTTGGTTGAGTCTTAAAACAGTGAATAAGAGTTAATCAATAGTGACTGAGGGTTCCATGTAGATGGAATAACAGAAGGTATTACAGATCTGTGAAGCAAGAGGGTACATTTGGAGAACTGTAATTAGTCCATTGTGGCTGGATTGAATGTGACATGAAGATAGAAGGAAGGCCAGAGAAATTCGGTAGGACGCAGGTGAAGAAGGACCTTGTGCTAAGAGTTTGGATTTTATCATGAAGGCAATTGGAACCAATCAAAGGGGGTTAAGCGGATGTGTGATATAAAATGTGTATATCAGAGGGATTATTTGGGGGCAGTGATGAAAGATGGCTTTGATGAGACTAGAGGCAGAGACAGTTTAGGGCCAGTTACAGAAATCCAGGTGAGAAGAGACAAGGGCTGAACTATTGTAGTGAATAAAAGAGGATGGAATTATATCGCTATTAATATAACAGAGGCTGCTATGATTGCATGATTGTTTGGCACTTCATACTCATTAAGTATTCAAGATTCATTTGTTAATATTTAATCTATTCTTCTCCATAGTATTTTTTTAAAATCTACTATTAAAGTTGATATGCAGACAATTTATATTTAGGTAAAAGCATCTTCTTAGACCTAACCAGGCATCCAAAAAAAAAAAAACCACTCTATAAGCAAAATAAAAATACTAATAGAAATAGAAATATTTTCAACATAGATCTTAAAAAGTAAGTTTCATACATATGTAAAGAGCTATAATGAGCCATTAGGATGAAAAAAAAAAAGCCCTATTTAAAATTGGCTAATTCATATGATTAGACTTCAAAAACACAGAAGTAAAAATATCCAAAAAGCAGATTAAAATATTGAGCTTTCTTGATTATAAGAGAAAAGACAGATAAAAACGAGACATCACCTTCATTTATCGCATTGTCAAAGGTTAAAAGAAATGAGACCTAGTATTGACAAAGGGATGTGTTTTATCAAATGGTCATTTATATACTGCTGTTAGGAGTGTGAATTAATCCAATGCTTTGGAAAGCAATTTGATAACATGAATTTAAAACTTTAATCATATTAATACACTTGACCCAATAATTCCCCCTTTAGGAATTTATCATAAGGAAGTAATCAGATAATGTTTATCAGGATATATCTACAAGGATATTTATTGAATTATTATAAATAATAGTTTTAGTAGAAAATTTTGGACTGTCTACCTAGGTCATAGTGACTGATTTTATGGATTGTCTTACTTCCAACGGAGGGGCCTCCAGCAGTGATTTTGTACCACGTGGCAGCCTTCCTCCACCTCCACCACAGTGATCATAACTAAGTTGGTACTCACCCCAGCTGAGCCAGTCAGGTTTCCTTCCCTGGGAATTTAGACGACAGAGAGAATGACAGAGAGGAAATAGTACCTCTGTCAAATTGCGCTTCTCAGTGTCTCCTGAATAGTCCGTGTATTCTTTTTTCAAAAGGAGAAGAATGCTGAGAGCAGAAAGGAGAAGCATGGGATAGCAAAATGCTTTCTAAAGTAGATGACTTAGGGAATCTATACAGTAATAGCTTGTAGACGCATCACTCCAATCTCTGCCTCTGTCCTCCTATGGTGCTCTCCCTGTGTCTCTGTGTCTCTTTTCCTCTTATAAGGACACCAGCCATTAGATTAAGAGCCCACTCTACCCCAGTATGACCTCATCTTAACTAACTACATCGGCAGTGACCTTATTTCCAAATAGGGTCACATTCTGAGGTACTGGGGGTTATGACTTCAAAATATCTTTTAGGGATCACAGTTAAGCCTATTACACATGACTCTAACAAACCTTGAACTCTTATTCAGATGTTGTATAATCTCATATTTAACTCTCTGGACCCTTTTACTTAGGTGGTCAAATCCCACACATCAGATGTTGGAAAGTTCTGTGATTCTAGAGCCTGCATTTTTCATAATGAGCCCTTTCTCATTGTGCCATTATTTTTACTTTGAGAACTCTTTTATTTATTTGCCAGAGGGATAGATGCTTGGCTGATGGAGAGAGAGTGGAGTTGATGACTTGTCTGTTGTGTAAATAGACTTTTAATTAATAAGCATCACATCCCACTTATTCCCTCTGTTGTACCTGGCGTTTCCCAGCTAAAAGCTTCTCCGGTATTCTGAGGAACTTGATTAGTGCCCTCGGCTGTATCACTCACCATGTTCTCTGGGCAGTAGCTTCCTCTTACTGGCTTCATTCATTACCCTTTCTTTATCCATTCTCTAACTTCCAAATATTGGTTGAAATCTTTCATTTGCTTATGGGCTCCCTCATTATTTTCACCATCTTAAGTTTTATTTATGTGGATGTTATTTCTCTGTCATCATTTTAATGGGAGGTGGTTCCAATAGGGAATGGGGAAAACTGTGTGTTCATAGCCATCTAAAAATGTGTATATATGTACTTAGTTTTTTGATAGATATTACCAAATTAGTTTTCCTTTTATATTTCTCAATTCTTTTTCTTAGTTCTTGCATTGAAACTTGAATATAATGTTGTTAGTGGTCATCGTTATCTTATCCTATTTAGGTGGAAATGCTGCTAATATTTCATCATTAAATATGATTTTTGTTGTAGATTAGTATCCTTTGTGAGACTGAGAAATTTTCTTAATATTTCTGCTGAGTTTTTAAAAATCTGTGATGGGTTTTGACCTTATTCAGTTATCTTGGTGGTATCTGTTGAGCTGATGGAGCTTCCTCCTTTAATATGTTAATGTAGTGAATTATATTAACATAGTTCCTAATTCAGAATCATTCATGGATTCCTGGGATGAACGTTTCTTGCTCAAGATGTATTGCTGGATTAATTTGCTAACATGTCATTTCAGATACTTCATCTGTGACCATACGTAAATTTGGCCTACCCTCCCCCCTTTTTTTTAGATACCAAATGCCATCCTAGTTTGGTGTTGGTAGCAGGATTATGCTAGATTTTTGGAACAAACTGGAGGAGTTTCGTCCTTTTCTAAATGCTGATACAAATTATATAGCATAAAAATGATCACTTCTTTGAGATTTGTTAGGACTCAGACAAAATTATCTGAATCAGATGCTGTTGTTTTGAGGAGTAGAACTTTTCCATTTCTTTTGTAAATATCAGTCTCTTCAGGTTTTCTACATATTCTTGAGTCATTTAAAAGTATTTAAAATATTATAAAATATATCATTCAGAACTAAAACATAACAAATATATGTATCCATCCTACCTCCATCAAATCCAAACCTTTTTTTACTTGCTTAATTTTTTAAAAAGAAATAAAAGATTAGAGATATACTTGAAATTCCTAACATTCTTCCTCCCAATTCTATTCCTTTCATTCTCTCCCCACACATATCATTATTCTGAATTTGGTGCTTATAATTCCCATGCATGTTTTATACTTTACATACATATGTATTCTTAAATAACATATAGCATTGTTTTGAATGTTTTCAAAATTTATACAAATACAATTATATGCCATGTATTGTTCTGTATCTTCCTTGTTTTCCTCGTCTTTAGTTTTAACCTAGTTTCTTCATTTAAACCACCGTGTAACATTTCTTTCATGAATGTACCAAATTTTTTTTATCCATTCTTTCCTGGTGAATATTTAGGAATTTTTACACAGATATTCATGTCTCCTGGAACTCCTGACACAGATATTCATGTCTCCTGGAACTCCTGTATCAGAGTTTCTATAAAATATGTAACTATAAATGTAATTGTTGGTACCCCAAAAAAGTGCTCTTCAGCTTTGCCAGATTCTGCCAAAAATTCTTCCACAGTATACAAATTTATATTCCCTTAAGCAATATGAGGTTTCTTGTTTCTTCACATCTTTATCCACATTTGGTACTTTCACATTTTTTTCTTTTTTTTATTGAATAGAAGATTCTTTAGAGTCTATAAAGGTTATTTTCACATTTTTAATTTTTCCAATCTAGTGAATGTGAAATGGTATCACATTTTAATTTGCATTTTATTGATCACCAGTTATTCAGATTGTTATTCTATGAGTTGCTTCTTCCCATCATTTATTTTCTATTTCATTTTGGCTTTTATCTTTACTAATTTCATCTACTTTACTTGGATTTATTTAATAAATTTATTTATTTGTTTTTTAATTAATTAATTAATTATTTTTGGCTGTGTTGGGTCTTTGTTGCTGCGCATGGGCTTTCTTCAGTTGCGGTGAGTGGGGGCTGCTCTTCAGTGCGGTGCGCGGGCTTCTCATTGCAGTGGCTTCTCTTGTTGCGGAGCACGGGCTCTAGGTGCGCGGGCTTCAGTAGTTGTGGCACACGGGCTCAGTAGTTGTGGCTCGCGGGCTCTAGAGCGCAGGCTCAGTAGTTGTGGTGCACGGGCTTAGCTGCTCCACAGCATGTAGGATCTTCCTGGACCAGGGCTCGAACTCACGTGCCCTGCATTGGCAGGCGGATTCTTAACCACTGTGCCACCCAACGCAGCCAAAAATAAATAAATAAATTTATTTTTAAAAAATTGTTAGTCTTTAATTTTATTGCATTGTGATTAGGATAAATCATTACTTTTTGAAACTCCTTGGAATTTTCTTTCAATATATATGACTATTTCATTTGTGTTTGAAAAGTAGGTATAAGTCTTACATGTACTATTATATCTAGCTTTTTAAAATTGCTTTTAGATATTAATTAATTTGAAAATAAATTTTATAAATATACATTAAAAATAAAGAAACAAGATACACTGCACACCTATGTAGCTTAATACAAGTAATAGAATAATTCTATTATGTTTGAAATACACTTTATACCTCATCCCAATCTCATCTCCTTTACTCCCCCTTCAGAAATAAATAATACCTTGAATCTTTTTCTTTAGCATGCCTTTGCCATTCACATGTTTTATTCCTAAACAATGTTGGTTTTTTGTTTTGGGACTTACACTAGTGAAATCATACTGTATATATTCTTCTGCAGTTTGCTTTCTTTTCACTCAACATTACATTCCTGAGATTATCCATGCAGCTATGCATAGCTGTAATGAATTTATTTTCACTGTGATAGAGTATTTAATTGTATAAATAGTTTATAATTTATCCATGTTACTGTTGATAGTATTTGGATTGTGTCAGATCTTTTGCTAGTCCATAACAGTGGTGCTGTGAATGTTCTTATACATGTCTTTTGGTACACATGCACAGTGGTTTCTTTAGAATATATACCTAAAGTGGAATTCCATGATCATAGGGTTAGTGCATCTTTCACTTTCCAAGATGATGTTAAATTGTTTTCCAAAACAATTATAATAATTTACACTCCAACTAGCATTTTATACTCTACTGGGCTCTTTATGATGTGTACTTTCAAGCCTTCACCTATTTTTTCTATTGGATTATTTGTCTTTCCTCTTTTAATGAAATATATAAATTCTTTATATATATTGGACTTTAAACTTTTTTCAATTATATGCATAGCAATACCTTCTCCAAGTTTGTGGTATGTTTATTTCTCTTTCTTTATAGTAGCTTTTGATTAATAGAAATTCTTAATTATAATATAATTAATAAAATATAACTTAGTATTATTACTGATAGTAATTTATTCATATTACTATTATCATCATCACTAATGGCTTGTGCCTTTTCTATCTTATTTAAGAACTTCTTCCCTAACCCTAGGTGGTAAAGATAGTCTTTTATATGTGTTGAATTTAACAGATAAGTAAATATATGTGAAGCTCATAGAACAGTACCTGTCATATTAAAGTGTTCCATAAATTAGCTATATTAATATTATCAATTTTATCTTATTTTGTCAATTCTTAGATGCACATTTTTGCATCTGTGGTAGGCTGAATAGTGCTCCCCCCACTCCCCAGCCAAGATATACAGGTCCTAACCTGAAACTAAGGTTACTTTGCAAATGTGATTAAATTAAGGATTTTGAGATGGTGAGATTACCCTGGGTTATCTGGTGGGCCCTAAATTAGCAAGTGTCTTTATAAGAGAGAGGCAGAGGGAGGTTTGACTGCAGTGACAGAAGGGAGAAGGCAATGTGACAATAGAAGTAGAGAGAAATTTGAAAATGCTATGCTGTTGGCTTTGAAGATGAAGGAAAAGGCCACGAGCTAGGGAATACAGCTCTAGAAGATGGAAAAGGCAAGGAAATGTGTTCTCCCCTAGAACCTCTGGAGGGAACATGGCCCTGACCATGCTTTGGTTTTGGTCCGTTGAAACTGATTTCAGACTTCTAGCCTCCAGAAATATAAGAGGATAAATGCATGTTGTTTTAAGCACCATGTTTGTGGTAATTTGTTACAGCAGCCATAGGAAATTAATACAGCCTTATAATTGACAGATTTTATAATCCCTGCCAGCCAGGCCACAAGTCATTATATAGTTATTACCTTTGAATACAGGGTCTTGGTTGTTATTCCTGATCTCATTACTGGACAGCTGCAATCCTTTGACATTTCCAACAATAGACTATTTAAGAACTATATGGAAAATGACTATAAATCCTGGGTATTGTCTGAAATATTCTGTTGACCCTTTCTTGTAACTCAAGGAAATATTAACATCAAAATTTGCAAAATGGATGCCAGTGGCTTGGGAGATATACTGATAACATGGAATACTCTTTAAGAAATGCTTTGATCACCTTTGTTCCTGATGGCAGTGTGCGGACAATAGGGTTGGAGGTCAAGGATGAAGCCAAAAACTCTTTGTAAGATTCAGGCTCTGAATATGAAAACATTTTAGGAATATTTTAATCAGGTTATTTCTCTCAAATTTTCTTCCTTATGCATGAACATGAAATCTGTGTTTAAGTAAGTTTATAATAGTATAAGATTAAAAACGCTAATTAGTAAGAAAACATTGTCCTATAGTTTAATTGGCATGTTTTTCCTGTCTTAAGGTAGTGGTGCATCATAGAATTGTTGGCATCTGAGATTCTCTGAAATTTAGTGTTGTTGTTGTTGTTGTTATTATTAATAACTTGTACCTTTTATGTCTTGTTTAAGGAATTCTTTCCTACCCATAGGTTATAAAGATAATCTCTGGGATTTCCCTGGTGGCACACTGGTTAAGAATCCGCCTGCCGATGCAGGGGACACGGGTTCAGTCCCTGATCCGGGAAGATCCCACATGCCGCGGAGAAACTAAACCTGTGAGCCACAACTACTGAGCCCACGTGCCGCATCTAGTGAAGCCCACATGCTCTAGAGCCCATGCTCTGCAACAAGAGAAGCCACCACAGTGAAAAGCCCGCGCACCACAACAAAGGTTAGCCCCTGTTCGCCACAACTAGAGAAAGCCTGCGCACCGCAACGAAGACCCAACACAGCCAAAAAACAATAAAATAAAAAATTTTTAATCATTAAAAAAAGATAATCTCTGATATTGTGTTCTAAAAATATTATAGTTTGCCATTTAGATTCTGAATTCACTAAGAATTGATTTTTGTAAAGTAGGGGTCCAATTTAGTTACTTTTCATATGGATAACAAAATACCATTTATCAGAAAAAGCTATCTATCCTTTCTTCACTGCTCCTTTTTACCAGCTCTATTGTAGGTCAAGTTTTCATTTATTCATGGGTCTGTTTCTGGGCTATTTTATTTCATTGGCTACATTTTTTATCTCTACATTAGTAAGATACATTTTAATTATTACGGATTTATAATAATTATTTATATTTTGTATGGCAAGTCCTCCCATCTAGTTCTTCAGAATCACCTTGTCAATTTTCCCCTCTTCCCACAACACTTTTAGGATTTTGATTGGAATTTATCAGATCTACAGATTAATTTGGGGAGAACTGGCATCTTCACAGCACTGAGTCCATGACTGTGATACAGCCCTCCATTTATTCAGTTATTCTATAATGTTACTCAGTGAAGTTTAATAATATTCTCCTCCAAGGTCTTAGATGTATTTTGCTAAATTTATTCCTAAATACTTCATATTTTTCATGCTACTGTGAGATCATTTTTTAAATTGCATTTTTTAACATTGTTGCTGACATGTAAAAATTCAACTGATTTTTCTACATTGGCTTTGTATCCAGAAACATAATATTATTCACCTTAATTCTAATATTTTGTGGTATATTCTTTTGTCTTTTCTATGTTAACACATCATATGATCTGAAAATAGTGACTGTTTCTTCCTTCTGTTTCTTGTTTTTCTGTGTCAGCTAAGACCTCTAGTTCCATATCGAATAGAAGTGATGATAGTGGCAACCTTAGTCTTGTTCATAAAATTGCAGGGAATACTTTGAATGCTTCACCATAAAATAAGATTTAAAAAAATTATTTATTTATTTTTGGCTGCGTTGGGTCTTCATTGCTTCTTAAGTTTTGTGGGGTTTTTTTAACATCTTTATTGGAGTATAATTGCTTTACAATGGTGTGTTAGTTTCTGCTTTATAACAAAGTGAATCAGCTATACATATACATATATCCCCATATCTCTTCCCTCTTGCGTCTCCCTCCCTCCCACCCTCCCTATCCCACCCCTCTAGGTGGTCACAAAGCACTGAGCTGATCTCCCTGTGCTATGGGGCTGCTTCCCACTAGCTATCTGTTTTACATTTGGTAGT